GCCGGGCCTCTCACTGCTGTGGCCCCTCCCGCCGCGGAGCACAGGCTCCGGACGCACAGGCTCAGCAGCCACGGCTCACGGGCCCAGCCGCTCCGCGGCATGTGGGATCCTCCCGGGCCGGGGCACGAACCCGTGTCCCCTGCATCGGCAGGCAGACTCCCAACCACTGCGCCACCAGGGAAGCCCACGACCTTTACTTTTAAACAATGGCCTATCCTTTAAACAGCACATGTGGAAGGCTCACTGTATTCTTTGAGGTTTATTTTCAATAGGCTGTTCTCTAATAACCCCAATTGTGCATTTACCAAAGGGATGCCCAGATTTTCTGAAGGCGTTGGGTCTCACCCCCCCTTCCCCGCCCCCCCCCAACCATCTGCCACACACACACTTTGTGTTTCTAAACTTTAGGATGGTTTCACCCGGGGCGATATAGCTCATGCATCTACTTTTGTAAGTTCCTAATTGAGGTAACAAAAAATGCACGGGGGAAGAAATGGATGGTGGGGGTGTTGGGTTTGTAGTCCTCCATTAATTTTCATTGGCCATTGATCTGTGACCGGTTTGGATGCGAAGGGAGAACCTTGAACAGAGACCTTGGTGGAGCAAGCTCCTGTTAGTCTAGTCCTTTTTAAAAATACTTATTTATTTATTTTTGGCTGTGTTGGGTCTTTGTTGCTGCGCGCGGGCTTTCTCTAGTTGTCGCGAGCGGGGGTGACTCTGTGTTGTGGTGTGCGGGCTTCTCATCGTGGTGGCTTCTCTTGTTGCAGAGCACGGGCTCCATGCATGTGGGATTCAGTAGTTGTGTCACGCGGGCTCAGTAGTTGTGGCTTGTGGACTCTAGAGCTCAGGCTCAGTAATTGTGGTGCGTAGGCTCAGTAGTTCTGGTTTGCAGGCTCTAGAGCGCAGCCTCAGTAGTTGTGGCACATGGGCTTAGTTGCTCTGTGGCATGTGGGATCTTCCCGGACCAGGGCTCGAACCCGTGTCTCCTGCATTGGCAGGAGTATTCTTAACCACTGCACCACCAGGGAAGTCCCTTAGTCTAGTCTTAAACTATTTGCTAAGGAATGTCTCACATCACAGGCCAATTGTTTTGCTTGGAGAGTTTCAGTTTCGGAAGTTTTTTGTTCTCCCACTTACTGGCCTCCTAAAGATAACCAGACTCAGCAGATGTCCCAGAGTAAAGGCCAGAAAGGCCTCCCAAAGTGTTAATTTAAAAAGCCATATTCAGTGTTCTTAAATACGAAAAGTGAATGGCATTCGTTTTATTTTTTATTTTTTAAAAATTTATTTTATTTATTTTTGGCTGAGTTGGGTCTTTGTTGCTGCACACGGGCTTTCTCTAGTTGCGGCGAGCGGGGGCTGCTCTTTGTTGTGGTGCGCGTGCTTCTCATTGCAGTGGCTTCTCTTGTTGCGGAGCACGGGCTCTAGGCGTGCAGGCTTCAGTAGTTGTGGCACACAGGCTCAGTAGTTGTGGCTCTCGGGCTCTAGAGCACAGGCTCAGTAGTTGTGGCGTGTGGGCTTAGTTGCTCCGCGGCATGTGGGATCTTCCCAGACCAGGACTCGAACCCGTGTCCCCTGCATTGGTAGGAGGATTCTTAACCACTGCGCCACCGGGGAGGTCCCATGGCATTCATCTTAGATAGAGTTAATTTTATGTGTATTTGCCATCTCAGCTTTTTGTTCTCATTGGTGTGGCCAGTCAAACTGCATGAAATCAGGATCAGAAAAACCTCACATTTCCCTTTACAATAAGGTGAGCTGGATCTTTTTTAGTTTACCTTAATGACTGCCAAGGGTGACTCCTCTTGAAGAATTTCTCTCTTTAAATATGTGTGGTGCCTAATTCTTGGCCTCGTCAATACCTTACACTGATTATGCAGTCCGCAGGTTCTAATCCCAAGTCCTGGGTAAGCTCTGTGCCCTGATTTGTGCCAGGTGTCAGTGGGAGCTCAGTACAAACTCTCCCAGCGAGGTAGGGCCCATGTGCAGGACCTTTCACCTGCCCTGCAGTCGTGCAGAGCAGAGAGCACCACAGAGAGAACCACTGTCACAGCCATATTTTCTACTTGCTGTCTTGTTTCCAGCTGGGGCGGGTGAGGTGGGCAGCTCAGGGTCACACCCCTCTGCAGTCCATGGGAAGAGGCTGGACTATAGCCCAGAAAGCCCTTTGTTTATCTTTGTCAAAGGCAGCTGACCCTTTTAGACACGTGTGCATTTCACCCATCAGTCTTTTCTTGTTCTAGGATTGTAGCCCCAGGGAGGGCTCTAGAGCATTTCTTATTCCTCTTCATGTCCCCAGCCCCTAGCACAATACCTGGAACAGTAAGTAGACTCATCCATTTGTGAACAAAGGAAAAAGGGTCATGTGCTTTTTAAAAAAAATTTTAAAAATTGAAGTATAGCTGATTTACAATGTTGTGGTAATCTCTGCTGTGCAGCAGAGGGACTCAGTTATATGCATACAGACGTTCCTTTTTTTAAATATTCTTTTCCATTATGGTTTATCACATGATATTGAATCTAGTTCTCTGTGCTGTCCAGTGGGACCTTGTTGTTTATCCATCCTATATATAATATTTCATATCTGCTAAGCCCACATTCCCAGTCCTTCCCTCCTCCACCCCCCCCCGCCCCCTTGGCAACCACAAGTCTGTCCTCTATGTCTGTGAGTCTCTTTCTGTTTTGTAGATGGTTTGTTTGTGCTGTATTTTAGATTCCACATATGAGTGATATCATATGGTATTTGTCTTTCTCTTTCTGACTGACTTCACTTGGTATGAAAATCTCTGGTTGCATCCATGTTGCTGCAAATGACATTATTTTGTTCTTCTTTGTGGCTGAGTAGTATTCCATTGTATATATGTACCACATCTTCTTTATCCATTCATCTGTCGATGGACATTTAGGTTGTTTCCATGATTTGGCTTTGTAAATAGTGCTGCTATAAACATAGGGGTGCATGTATCTTTTTGAATTATAGTTTTGTCTGGGTACACGAAGGGTCATGTGCTTTTGAAGGTATGTAAACCGGGGTGCCTTCTAACATAAAGATGGGCGTAGACCTAATGAGAGCAGCTCCTGTTAGACCGAGACATTTAATTTAGTGCCTCCTGTTTCTTCAGTGTGATATTGTTCCGAATTTCAGTCTATCCTAGGTGTAGTTAGAAACCTCTTCAGAACAATGCTAGACAGCCCAATTTTCTTTGAAAATTTTAGTCTGTTTAGTTTTTCATGTGAGATTTTTAACCTTTTTCTTTGAAGGGGTCTATACAATTTAACCCACGGGAGGTAGATGTTGCAGTCTCCAAAGCTAATCGTGCTCCGAGGACCACACTGGGAGCTCTGAAGAAAGAAGAGTTAAACACTCAGTATCTTCAAAATCAGGAGGAAATGCCAAGATATCAGGTTTCCAAGTCAGATAACAAGCGAAAACAAAAAATGAAGGGAAGAGCTACGGCTCACTTACGTAAATCTTCCCACCACCTTGGGGGAAAAAAATTAAGATATTCAGCTAGAAAAGAGAGAACTGGAAAATTATTATCCAGTGAATACAATCACAGTTTGCTCCCTGATCGGAATTCTTTGCAAATTGCAATGATTCAAGGTCAATCTCTTGTGAAAGAAGACTACCATGGTTCTAATAAATCCTATTCTTCCAGATTAGTTGAGAGAGACCATGGCAGGAAACAGAAGATCTATGAAACAGATGAATTTATTGACTATCTTCTTAACTATTATCAAACTCCAAAATATGCCCGTATCTGCCTAGAACCAAGTCACATAACAAGCACATGTCAGTGGCACAGGGCCGTCCATGCGAAAGGAAGTGGATTTCAAATCACTTTGAGAAAACATAAGCGTCATTTAACCAGTTTGAGCCAAATGCAAAACCTAGATAGGAGAGAACAGGTGCAAGAAGTTGATTCCTGCACAAAGATTTGTACTCAGGATCCTGAGCATAAACGACAAAAGAGGGGAAAAGTGGATTATGCCAAAGAATGTAGAATGTTTAAGGGGTTTAAACATCATTGCAAGGACACAGTATGTGAAGCTGGTGATCGGCCATCCCCAGCTTTTGGAAAGAGCCATCTGTTGGAACAGACTCATGCTTACCAGGTCCAAGATTCCATATCCACAAGTCAAAGCCAAGTTTCCTCGCCCAACAGGTCAGCAGACTTTGATTTGAGGTTGACAGATTTCTTAGAGGAAATTAGCAGTGATTCTGAATGTTTCAGTGAAATCCTTAGTATAAACAAAGAGGAGAAAGAGAAATCTGTGGCCACATATGATAGCTCCCCAGAAAAGGGATCTCTTGACACTGATGAAATCATCACTTGCGATCCAGAAATTAGGTCAAGTCAGCAAACCTTGTATTCAGAGTGGAAACATGAGGAGGAAAAATACTCTAAATACGAGCTTAGGAAACCAGGCAGGAGGTCCAATTATGAACTGAGATGTTCATGGCTTGAGGGTGAAAACAATTCTATTAGAGATGAGAAGAGCAACAGCAGAAAGAGGGAAATATTGGCCCCCAAATACTTACTTGATAAAAGCTACCACCACGAATCCAGTGCCAGTGATCAATTAGACACTGTCACAAGAAAGAGGATGCAGTTTAGTGATAGTACATTTAACCAGAAAGTGAACTATAGGCCCTTTCATGAGCCAATAACATCATCAAAAAGTGCTAATGCTTCCTATTTGGGGGATTTTCCCAAAAGAAGAGAGGCTCCACGGCAGTCAGAATATAACCAGGATGCAAAAGGAGGTTTAAAAGATATGAGAATTCTGAAGATTTCATACTGAATTCTGATAATTGCTATATCAGACATAACAGTCAGGAGCACATTGACTACGGAAGCTATTTAGGAAACAACCACGCTAGTTCTTTATATTTTCAAATGTTTTGAAGGTCTCTTAGATCAGGAAACTCTTACTCACAATAAAAATGTGCAAGAAGAAAATTTCGGACCAAATGTAGCTATGTAGTTAGCAACTACAGAGCAAGAGAGCAACACTTAGGAGCACGAGCAAGGTCAAACGCAAAACCTTGTTTCTCTTGCCAAAGGATAAAGCATAGATCTAAGTGTGTGTGTGTGTGTGTGTGTTGCAGGTGTGTTGGCAAACTTTGGAAACACAAAAACATCCAGATTCTGAAGGTTGGTAAAACAATGTGCTTGCAAAACTTCCTTATCCAAGGACAGACATTTCTACAGTTCCATTGCAACTTCAATTCGGTGCCATCAAAGGAGCAAATTAACGTCGAGAGGAGTTAAGATAGCCCTCTGTGGCTCTTCAGCTGTCATAATGTTATCATTTAGCATCATTTATCTGCAGAGGGAATGGCAGTGAATGAATAATGATCTTTTTACTTGTTCTTTAATTTGGTCAGAACACCATGTGCAGCAACAAACTTTCCTGACTTTTATCTAGAAATACCTACAGATAAAAGAGGAGAGATGACACTTAGAACATATAATAGACTTCTTCATGACATTAGACAGTTCCATGAGCATCCACTAGAAAGAAATTAATCTTATTAATATGTTCATAGGACTCAAAGAGTTGTCCTTTTAGAAACAAAGCCTTGGAAGAAGAATCTAAAAGGGGCTCAGATTGTCCTTTGAGGTTTACACAGATAGTGGACCATTAGCAGAGTTGTTTTTTTGGAAGAACCCCATGTCATTCCATCCTAGAAAAGCAACAGGATTGAAGCGATATGACGTGGGATTTGCCAAAGGAAATATTGAACGATCCTGGGGCACCAGTAATGGCACTTGGGAAGAGAGGACGTGACGGTATTCCATTTCAGGTTATGTAATCCTTTCACTCAGGGTTGGGTGACATCAGTTTGTAAAAAGCCACTGTATATCCCAAAGCTGACTTTTATAAAACAGTAACAAGTGCCTCCTCAATCCTCAGTAATGCCATGGAGTTAGGAAGAGTCATGGGTAAAGCCCATAGTTTTCTAGCGGGGGAAAAATTGTATGTGTGCCGGATTTGTAAACTCTTAACATAAGCAATTTACCTTTTTACCTACTGGTTTTGGACTCCTTGAATATGTTTTTAAATTGAGATATTTTATAGATTCGTAAAGACATACATCTTAATGCAGTGCATGTTTTATTGAAAGCTCGGCTGATTCATTCTGCCTTATATTGGATTTAGGACCTCAGGGGGCAGTAGATGACTTTTTTTCTTCCAACGAAGCTATAGCTGACATGACAGTTGAAGACCTCAATGAGATTAGGTTGCCTGCAGTGGGGAAAAGGTGATTTTAATCCACTGAAGTAGTGGAAGGCAACATTTTCATATGACATGATTCATTTCAAACAGTCCTAACTTGATAGTCCGTAGAAAAGTACCAGCTGGTAAAGCCAAGGTAGGATGCCAGTCCTTGTGGTTGCCCAGAATGACGAGGCACAGTGTGTGCCCATAACCACCCTCTTGAGCAACGTGATATCTGAAATGGCTATAAAATCTTCTAATTGATCTAAAGTAAGAGCAAGTTGTTTCGTTGATCTCCTCTAATAGCATTTAATAGAGGTATGCCAGTACAAGCAAAAGTTCAGGCATGAATGTAACATAGCAGATTGATTATACTTATTATCAATGAATGATTTGTTGGCTCCCTTATATTCAATTCCACTTGCAAGCCAGTGACTCTGCCATCAAAACCAGGCTTGGCTTGTCCAATCTGAAACATTGCTCCTAGGGCGAGTGCCTTTTCTCCTCTGAGGGCTAGCAGTGATTATTAACGTTCAGAGGTCTGTTGTCCGGAGTAGCCTTTTAAACTACTAGCAGCTTGTATTTTGTCAGACAACTTTTGGTAACCAGGTATTATTCTCCTCCAATGAGACCCCACCTCCTTATTTTTTCATGTTTCGTGCCCTTGAAACAAAGAGCATTATGGGTTTGTAATGGAAAGCAGCTATGCTTGTTTTGAAAAAGAAAACCCAACTCAATCTCTTCTGTCATTTGATAATTTTTCTTTGCAGAGATTTTAGGCGTGAAAACAATTTGCTGCTCAGTAACCAGACATAAAAAAATAAATTGCAGAATACAGCATGTGCAATTAAAAATTTTTTTTGTATAATAGAACTGGTGCTAAGTCACTTCTATGTAATATTTTGGTCTTGTTTTCTTTGCTAAATACCATCCTGGGACCTAGAAGAAAGTAAAAATACTGGTTTTATGTTTACTTTCCATACAACCTTGGATTTTTATGTCTCGTGGTAATGCATTCTAGATTTGAGTAAAACTCTTTTTGGGGGGGTTGTGTAGGCCTTAAACAAGGAAGAGAACAATTTATCCTGAACTTTTCAAATGAATTGGCTTAGTAAGGAATGAAACAGAGCCAAAAATGTTGTAATCACTTTCTGTTAACATTGTTATTCTTTCTTGTGCTGTTGTTTAAGTGGTGCAGAAGTATTTTCTCATTATCTTTTTTCTATGTCCCATTAAGTGAGGGCCTGAACTTTAAGCTGTGTCTTTTAAAATAGGTGTTTTTATGTTTTTCCTTGTACATGCTGCTAATAGTGCTTTAAGAAAGCTAAAAATCTGTCAGTGCGTTTTTGTTCAATTTGTTTGAATTTCTCAGGGTAGAAAGCCATGTAACCTGATAATTTGGAAAATAAGAACCAAATAAATGTATTTTCACTTGTTGCAAGACTGTTCAAAATGTTAACTTTTAAATGCTGATAATTCCACTTTGGGGGGTTGGGATTTCTACCCGTAGTATGCTGCTTTGCACTAACGCTGTTGATCCTTCTTGTCATTTGCATTGGTAGAGAAATAATACATATTTGATTTTCAGATATATTAAAAATAAAGTTGTCATAGAGTCTTTGTTCATTGACCGCATGTACTGGCTAGAAGGTTGCACACCTGCAGTAACATTCTCTATGAAAATATATGTCTGGTTTCAGTAGTTTCGAGGCAACTTCCCGTTTATGGTAATTGCCTGTCAGAGCTCATGAAACCACAGTTGTGTTTTCATCTTGGATAAATTAAAATCATGGTATTTGGACTCAAGACTATTCTCCCTTCAGCAAAGGTTTTATCAGTTCTTTAAAGGTAGCAAAACGGACTCCACAGAATTTCATCTCATCCCTCAGGCCTTGGTAGAAGTGTTGAAGTTACTCAACATCCAGAAACAAGTCAGAGACACGAGGGGCTTCAGTGTTCAGTCTTTGACCCTGCAAGCTTTAGCTGTATTTTCACATGAAATGTACAGCAAACCGCCTCTAAGCATCCCTAACAAAGGCGGACTGTACCTTAGAGAACGACTGGGCACTTCAGAGCTGAAAGGGTTCTTGTTGGGTTCAAAGAGCTCTTTCTGAGACAGCAAGGGCTGTTCTTGCTTGTTCTGGATTGAGGATTTGCATGAAGTTTGGCCCTCTGAGGTAAGGTGAACAGGACATTGTGTAGAGAGGCCACAGAGATACCACAAACGCGTAGTGAATGCTGCTTCTGACCCATAGATGCTGGGACTGAGAACAGTGTATCTGGGCAGGGGCCAGAAGCAAGCAGGTAGGGAGCAAACAGCTGACCCTTCCCCCGCTGAAACCACCACTCCCTCATCTTCTTAAATGGCGCCTTTTACATAGTATGGCTTACGACTATGCGAACTGGATTTGAGATGTTTTTAGATCAAAGTCCTGCCTGATGGTAATATCACCTTACCTGTAATCAATACAATGTTGATTTAGTTCTGAATGGAGGGGAATCCGGCTATTTGGGATTGAAGCTTTTAACCAGGCTCTGGATGTTTTCCTCCTGGCATCAGACAACTGTTTAACTTAGTAAAGGGAATAGCCTAATCTTCGCATCTAAATGAGATTTCAGGCTGCAAAGGTGGCCCAATTTCTCTCTCCCTCCCCTTCCCCCATAGCATATGGCCTAACAGGTTGCTTGGCACAAAACAGGCAACTCGAGTATTTGTTGAATGAAAACTAGTGGGGGGAAAGGACACATTTAAAAACAACAAAAACAGGCAATTTGGTTTGAGAACGTAAAAGCTGGAAAGCTTTTGAGCCCTCTTTGATTCAGGGAGTACCTCCTTTGTAAGAAAAGTCTGCCAATTTTAACACTAAAATGGCAGAACACGAATATTCAGGGTAATAGGTCGTCTGTGTTTATGCCACCAACTGCACGTGCAAATCTGATAGCCTTGTTTCAGCACAAAGTGAATCAACTTTACTACTATAAGGATTCCTGAACACTTTACTAATCCGATGATACATTACAGCAAAAACAAAACTTGCCTTGGCACTCGGTAACAATCTTCACTAGAGTTACTCCTTAGTGACCTTGCCGTAGACCTCAAGGTGGAAGTCTGCCTTTGAGTTTATTAAGTTCTGACTTAAAGAGGCAGAATTTGACAAGTCACAAAAAATAAATTCAATTCACTATTTTCTTAACAGGACAAGCTGGTATTTGGTTTGTGGTGTGAGGCCTCTGTCAAGTTCTGCCCCTTGTCTCTTTTGGAATACAAAAAATGTCACTCAAAAGTGAAACTCTTGAAGCTGGTTACTCAGATTAAGGTTTAAAAAAAACAGGGCAACCCACCACACTGTACTGGGTAAAACCATTTTATTAACTGACCAAAGCACTTCATTTTGTTTTCTGATTTGAGGTAAAACCATTAAACACAGTTCACAAGAAAATACAATAACTATTCAACTACAAGAAACCTCACTAATTGTTCTTTTACAAACTCATACAACTGTACAGTCTACTTAAGCTAAGTTTATTGTTAACCAAAAGACCAATATCAAAGACCAAGACACTTGACTACTACTCTTGCAGTGGCTATAGTTTTGTAACAACAGAAGAATAACTGTTACTTTATGAATACACTTTAAAAACCACTTGGCTAGTGATGTATTCAGTTTCCTCATTCTTCAGG